CCTCCCTCCCTCCTCCCTCCTCCCTCCTGCCTCTTGCCTCCTGCCTGCTGCCTCCTCCCCCCTCTCCCTCCTTGCGTTCCCTCCTTGCCTCCCCAACCCTCCTTCTCCCCACTCCCCATCTACCAACCACCACCACCCCCACTCCAATGCGATTCCCAGATTTGCCCCGGACAACTTCCAGGTTGAAAACTCCTTTTCCTGGGCTTGGTTTTCAAATTTCTGGGCTTGGTCCGTTTCCAGGCTTGGCCGGCAGATTCCTGGGCCTCCTCCAGAAGGTTCCGGGCGTGCCCTCTCGATGTTCCCGCCTGTTGTGGATTTCCAAGCTTGCCCCACCAATCGAAAGCTGGGCGAGGGTTGCTAAAACCGCGGCTGCTAAAACGGCCCTCCCGGAAGGAAAAAACAACTTCCTGGAATGAGGCGCGGCACGCGAAACAGCCAACGGGCTTCTTCCCGGAAGGACGAAGACAACTTCCCGGAGGTCGATCTTAGCAGCCACGGATTTAGCAGCCCTTGCCCGGCTTCCGAACCAATTTCTGGGTTCGGTTGTTTCCCCCCTCCTCACTCGCAGATATGGCGCCGCAGCTTTGCACGCCTGGCGCCGTCGCCCCGCTTGGGAGCCCAGGACCGCCGCAGAGATCGCTGCGGCTCGGAAAGAGCGCAGGACGCTGGGGGTCCAAGGCTCCGGCCGCGATGTTCCACGATGGCGCATACAATCGGACCTAGAACAAAAGAACACCCCTCAAGAACATGAGACCTTCCGCCGGCCAACACAAACAGAACATCCAAGGGTATCCTGCCTAGGATAGAAAAGAACATCCAACAGACACGAGGATCACTAGGGTACCCTTCCCGAAACGACCTCGATCTTATACCTCGGTCCGACTGTATGTCTTCGCAAAGGCGGAACTCGGGGGAGGTGCGCGCGGATTTCAGGGGTCTGCGCTAAGGCCGCCCTCCCGGGCGTGCGGGGCACGCCGGTCGCGGATCCAGGAAATCCGCGCGGAGCTCCGACAAGATGCTGATGCCGTTGATCGAACCGCGGGTCGGCGCGCCGCCAGAGCGTCACTGCTTCCGCAACATCTCCATGAACTCGTCGAAGTCAACCTCGCCATTCCCGTCCTCGTCCACCTCCCTGATCAGCTCCTTGGCCGTCTTGTGAGCAAGCACCTTCTCCACGCCGTCGTCGTGCAGCACCTGGCTCAGCTCTTTACAAGTGATCTTGCCGTCGCCGTTGCGGTCGAAAACGCAGAAGGCGGACCAGCAAATCTCCTCCTGCAGGTACTGCCATCGATCCATGGCGGCGGCGAGGAACTCCGTGAAGTCGATCTCCCCGCTACCGTTGGTATCGCAGTCCCTGACGATCTCCTCCAGCTCGGCGGCGATCTCGCCAAGGCCAGCCCTCACGACCCCTTCCCTGAGCTCGCTGAGGCTGAGCATGCCGTCGCCGTTCGTGTCGAGGCCCTTGAACATCTCTCGGTGGGTCCTGATCTTGTCCTCGTTCAGCAGGCTCGCGATGAGCTCCAGCGAGGCCCTCTTGAAGCGGTTCATGGAGCAGAACCTGCGGAGGTTCTCCACCCGGCCCGTGTCCAGGGGCACGCTCCTGGCGCCCGGCGCTCTCTCTGCCACCCAGGCGTGCTCGAACGCCTGCCGCGCAGAGAACCGCAGCTCGGGGTTGTACGTCAGCATGCGGTTGATCAGGTCCTTGGCCCCTCTCGGCGGCGCACCGAGGGGTCTGGGCTGGGGCCGACGGTCCGTGGCCGAGGCCGGGGCCGAGGCCGCGGCCAGGGCCAGAGCCTGCACGAGAAGAGAGCCTGGGCCGCGGCCGGCGCCGGAGCCGGAGCCGGGGCCGAGGCCTGCAAGGCCGCGGCCTGGGCCCGGGCCGGGCCGAGGCCGGTGCACCGGGCGCGGACGAGAGGCCAGGGCGGGGGCCGAGCCCCGGCGTGGGAGCGAGGTGGAGCGAGCCTCACAGGCGGCGGGGCGTCTCCGAGGCGCTCCGGAGCCTTCTGAGAGGGCCCGCCTCCGGCTGCCTTCCTCGACGACACGCAAGGAGTGACCCTGGGCAGGAGTGACCGCTGGTGCGCGGCTCCTTCGGGGGCCGCGAGGGACCGAGCACGAGCGCACAAGCCGCTGCTGCCGCATCGCGTGCGGCGGTCGGGGGGGGCCATCGGGCCCGCACCAAAGGTCGCTCTGGCGAAAGGTCGCTCTCACGTCCAGTCGAAGCTTCCCCCCTCGGCGCGCCGCCGATCCTCTGGACACGCAGGCCCAGCTCTCGTCGTACGAGTACCTGCCGCTCTTGACGCACCGCAGGACCTCCTTGTCGGTGCCCCCGTCAAAGGGCAGGGTGCCCGACAGCATCAAGTACACGACGACGCCGGCGCTCCACACGTCGCAGAGCTCGTTGTAGCTCCCGGTCAGCACCTGAGGGGAGACGTAGTAGGGAGTGCCAATCTTGGTCGCGAACCTGTCCCCCGCGTTGAACGTGCGCGAGAGGCCGAAATCGATTAGCTTGAGCACGCACTTATCGATCCTTCTGGCCCTGGACTCCAGCAGGAAATTTTCGGGCTTCAGGCACGCCGGCCCCCCAGAGAGGCTCCGTTGGCGGGGCAGCTGCCTGTCCGTCTCCGTCGTCGCCGCCGCCGCCACCGCCGCCGCCATCGAGGATCGGGGGATCAAGGGCCGAATTTGGGGGAATTACATGTTTGGGCGCTTCTCTGCATTGTGGTTGGGCCACTCTGGTCGAGGCCGCCCCCGAGTCCTGGTCAGAACGCGCCCCGGAAGAGGTCCAGGAACCGGTCCCCTGGGTCTGGCTCTCTTCCCTGCTCCCTCGGCTCCTCCTCGCGCGTGGCTGACCTTCGGCTGCTCCTCATCCTACGACTTTGCCTCCTCCTCCTCCTCTTCCTCCTCCTCCTCCTCCTCCTCCTCCTCCTCCTCCTCCTCCTCCTCCTCCTCCTCGGCATCACCATCCTCCCTCATTACGTCCTTCGCCTCCTCCTCACCACCACAACCATCATCATCTTCACTGCCCGCCATTCCACACCGTTCCTCGCCGTCCTCCGGTGGCGGCGGCGGCGGCGACAACGTCGAGGGAGGCGGCATCGACGACGAAGTCGACGGCGGCAACGACGACGACGACGACGACGACGACGACGACGACGACGACGACGACGACGAGACGACGACGACGACGACGACGACGAACGGGCGGCGGCGGCGGCGGCGGCGGCGGCGGCGGCGGCGGCGGCGGCGGCGGCGGCGGCGGCCGGGGCGGCGGTGGCGGCGGCGCGGCGCGGCGACGGCGGCGGTGGCGGCGGGCGACGACGACGAGGCCGACGGCGGCGACGGCGGCGACGACGACGACGAGGCCGACGGCGGGCAGCGCGGCGACGGCGGCGGCGGCGACGACGAGGTCGGCGGCGGCGGGAAGCAACGAGGGGGCGACGGCGGGCAGCGGCGGCGGCAGGCGGCCCGACCGCGGGGGGGCGGCGGCGAGTGGCGCGCGGCCGCCGCGCCATCCCGGTGGCACACGCCGCGCTCGTGTAGGCCCGCCAGGCCCCGCCCGGCGAGGCAGGGCCGGTGGGCATCGGAGCGGGAACTCTCGGGCCTCCAGGGTAATGGAGACAGCCTCGATCCTCCTCCTCGATCCTCCTCCTCGATCCTCCTTCTCCTCCTCCTCCTCGATCCCCCTCCTCCTCGATCGGCGATCCTCAGCAAGACGAAAGCTGCTCGCCGCTTTGAGCCTCTCAAGAGGCCCGCACCGGGCCCCAGGACCGTCAGAGCGCGACGCGGGCTGAAGAGCCCGTCCCTGGGAGGGGGAGTCGAGACTTCCCGGGGGCCCGGACTTCCGGGAGCGGATCGGCCCAGACATGCGCCGTCGTGGTTTCTCACAACGTTGCGCCCCTCCTCCTCCTCCTCCTCCTCCTCCTCCTCCTCCTCCTCCACATGTTCTTGTTCGCATTCGGAATAATGATATTATTTATATGATTCGCAGCAGCAGAATTATCGGACTTCTAATATCGGACTTCTAATAATTACGTATGCCCAGTGTGTCTATATAGTCGCAGCGGTAGTAATATGATCCTGAATAGTACATGTCTTCTCCGTATGAGTATGGTAAGTCTGCGTATTCGTGCGCATGTTCGTCGTGCCAATAGTTTATTGTATGCCTGGGATCAGCACATTCGTCATAACATTCGCTTCATTGGTATGATCGCACTCTGAATAGTATTCATATGAACGTCGTCTCAATAGTTTTGATGTTCGTATTTTTCGTATTCCTGAAACTACGAATGTATGTATTAATAGTCTCGTAATAAGAGTATTCGTGCTGTTTTTCTTGTTTTTCCGCCTCCTCTGCCACGGGGGACGCGCTGCAAATGGGAAAGGTGGACCCCCTCCCGGTGGACGGCTTTTCATCCTGAGACTTTTTTGAATACCCTGGGGCTCGGGCGGGGCCCCCAAAGGCCGAAAACGACCAGACAAACTTTCCGTCGTGATTGCCTCACGGCGCGGGGATGACAAGGGAATCGGAATACCCGTCGTGTTCGTCGGACCAGGCTGCATCGGCACGGAGGCGGAGTCGAACCAAATCGACCGCGCCAAGATGCGCAACAACGCAATGCGATCGTCAGACCGCATCGGATCGTCGGAATGTCGAAATCTAATCCGATATCGAATCGGATCGATCGGCTCCGAATGAAACCTGCCTCCTCCTCCTCCTCCTCCTCCTCCTGCTCCTCTCCCTCCTCCCGGGGATACAACAACATACCCATACCACTACTCCCCAGACTCACCCAAAGGCGCGCTCTGGCAAAGATGTCGAAACCAATCCTGCCGTGGCGACTCCCTCCTCTCCTCCTCCTCCTCCTCCTCCTCCTCCTCCTCCTCCTCCTGCTCCTCCTCCTGCTCCTCCTCCTGCTCCTCCTCATCAGCCTCCTCCTTCTCCTCCTCCTCCTCCTCCGCCACCTCCTCCTCATCCTCCTTCTCATCATCCTCCGAGCCCCTCCCCAAACCCCTCCGACCGTCTCCGAACCCCTCCTAAATCATCCGAAACCCTCCGGCCCCCCGAATCCCTCTGGACGCCTCCGACCCGGTTTCGGGCGCGAACGGGGCATTGCGGAGTTCGGCGCTCTTTATTAACTTTCTGCGTCTCTGCTCATCTCCTCTCTTTCTCACCTCGTGCTCGACCAACGCTGGTCTGCCCTGGAGTCATCTTCCCCCCTCCTCTTCCCCCTCATTCCCCTCTCCTTCCTCCCAGCCCAGTTGCGAGTAGGGCAGATCGCAGAGGAGTGCAAGAAATGTGGGAACACTCTTAGAGTCACTACAAAGTCAAAGAATCCAACGTGCTGGGAACAGGCGAATCCAAAGTGCTGGGAACAGGCGCAGACTGCCCCCCTGCGGCTGGAAAGTCTATACCCTTCGGTGCGCCACGTGGGGGTTTAAATCATATCCAGCCGCAAAAGGGTGCAGGCATCCCCGACGGCGGAAAAGCTGATGTTGTACTGTTCTTCGCCCGCCAAACGCTCCGGAGCGGAATGAACCTCGTCCTGTCGGGAGGAACGAAAGGGGGGGATAGCAAAGGGTAGGGTAGAGAATCAGCTCACGCAGCTGACTTCCTCAGCGCCTCCCAGCGCCGGGAAACGCCCCTGTATCGAGGAATGGGCCCGGCGGCAGGGCCGAAACCAGCTGCACGCAGCAGATTTCGTGACCCCCCGTTTCCCCATCCCCCCTTTCGTTCGGCCCGATCCTGGCCCCGTCCGAAGCTTGAGCTGGGACTGACCGTCCCAGCATTCCTATAGTCATACCACGAAATGTTCTTAGAACCCAAAAATGTTCTAAGAACAAAAACAATGTTCTTAGAACATAAACCCGATCTGATAAAACAAGACAGACTCCGCCAGAAATGTTCTAAGAACATGTCGTGGAAACCACAAAAGGTTCTTAGAACATTGTTTGGTGGGGCTATAGGCGAGCCAAGACGCTTCGCCGCTGCTTGAGAAGCGGGGGGGTGGGCATGGCCCGGGCGCCGGCCGGCGGGAAGCCCTGCAGCTAGAGCACGGCGGCCAGCGCCTGCTTCGCGACCCCGGCCGCGTCGGGCTCGCTGAGCTGGCCGACCTGGTGAGGGCCCACGGGGGAAGCCAAAACGGAAGTGCTTCTCCCTGTCGGCATGTGGAGGCCCTCGCCAGGCCTCACGACCGTCACAAGAGGACTCGGGATAAGAAGCTGGTCCCCAGGAGTGGGTCGAGACCTCCAGGAGTGGGTCCAGACGTCCAGCCGACCTCGGGGGGATGGCCTAGATCAACCAGTCGAGTTCGGCCTGGATGGGTTCGGCGACCGGATCACGCTGGCCGAGGTTTAGGTCGGGCATGTCCCCCTACAGGCGGATCTTGGGCGAAAAATTACAAATATGCAAAAAAAACGAGGGGCATGCTCGACTTAAGCCGAGGTCAACCTGGCCGAGCTCTTCCTTGCAAGTCTGGCTGCTGCCCACGGTGGGACAGCTCCCAAGTCCGCGCCGATGGCTTGGATCGGCGCCGGACCCCCTCTCCCTAGCACGGCCCTCCGAGAATTATTTATTGATGGGCTTGCTTTCCCACACCACCACCATCACCACCATAAGTTCGAGGGGGAGGGGGGGCCTCCTCCTCCTCCTCCTCCCTCCTCCTCCTCCTACCTCTCCTCCTCAGTCCTCCTCTCCTCCTCCTCCTCCTCCTCCTCCTCCTCCTCCCTCCTCTTCCTCCCTCCTCCTCCTCTCCTCCGCCTCCGCCTCCTCCTCCTCCCCTCCTCTCCTCCTCCTCCTCCTCCTCCTCCCTCCTCCTCCTCCTTCCTCCTCCTCCCTCTCCTCCTCCCCCTCCTCAACTCCTGCTCCTCCTCCTCCTCCTCCTCCTCCCTCCTCCTCCTCCTCCTCCTCCTCCTCCTCCTCCTCTCCTCCTCCTCCTCTCCTCCTCCTCCTCCTCTCCTCCTACTTCTCCTCCTCCTCCTCCTCCTCCTCCTCCCCCTCCAACTCATGGTGGTGGTGGCAGAACACCAGCCCATCATTCACGCACGCTCACGCCACTAATCGCTCTCTTCGCTTCGAGAGGGTGTGTCAGCGCGTCGAGAGCCCTGGGCCGAGAGGGTCCGGTCGCCGGGGGTCTTCGGGGGGGGCGGGGGGGGGGGCCGGAAACTGGGACCAGGATGGGGAGGGCGGGTGTGTAAAATCATGAAATAATAGTTTTGATGGTGATTCATGGCCATTGGGTGAAAATTAGACATCAAACATATAGGCCAGCAGCACTAGAATCATGATAATTACAGGCAGCAAAGCATTCCACATGGGGGGGTCCCGCAGCGCGGCCCGAGGTACGCGCGCCGCGGACGAGGGGGGGGGGCAGGTGACGCCTCGTGAGATGCAGGGGGGGCATGGAGCCTGGGAGATGCCATTGTGAAGGGGTCCACAAACACACCAATAAATACACACAAATAAAATGATTCCCCATATTTTCCCATATTTTCTGGGTTTTCGTCTTCCCCTCCACTTCCCATATTTTCCAATATTTCCCTGGGGATCGACGAGTCATTGTGTCTGTGTGTTTCTTTCCCTCCTGACATTGCCCCGGCCACGCTGCAGTCGGCAGGTAGCATGAGGATGCGCGATAAGGCTGCAAGGGCCTTGGACGCCCGCTCCGAAGCCTTTCGAGCGAGGCGCGGCCAGCGAAAACGGCCAAGCACGGACCGAGGAGGCAAGGATGTCAGGGTACCCTTGGGAAGGTCGCCCATCCTTACTATGCGGGCTGACCGTAACGGTCCGATCTTAATGGGCCCTGGGAACGGCAAGGCCGTCTTGCCACCGTTTTCGAAAAAAATTCTCCTGAAAATGGAAACGGTAAAAAACACAACCAAAAACGGCAAAAAAACAGCTCCAGGATTGGAACCGGAACCGAACCGGCAAAAAAAGGCGACGGCACCGGCACACAAACGGCGAGACCGAACCGGCAACGAAACGGCAAAAAACCGAACCGGTAAAAAAAGGCCCCCTGTCGCTTCCAAGGCCCACGAAGACGAAGGGTCCGATGATATCCCCACCTCCTGGACGCCTCCAAAGAGTCGGGGCCTCCTCCCCCAGACCTCGGGTGTTGCTAGAAGTGCCCCTGGCCAAAGGTGCCCCCAGCTTTTCGATCCATTCTGGAGCCCCTGGGGTCCTCTGGGGCTCGTGAGGGGTGGCCTCCTGGGCCAGGGGTACTTCTAGCAACACCCGAACAGGCCCCTGGGCCTCGCAGATCTTCGCGAAGAGCTCGCCGCCGGAGCACACCTGCAAGGTGGGGGAGCTCCTCACGTCTGCCCGTCGGCCCTGTCTTCGCCCTCGGTCGTGGACCGTATCCGATCATGTTCCTCCAGAAATCATATGCACGTATGTGTTTAGCAATAGTGTCCCCTTACTAGTATTAGTATTCGGTTTATGGTTCGTCTGCTTCGTGATAGTATTACTATAAGCCGGCTTATTGATATTACCATTACTAGTATTCAAACGATGTTTCTTCTTAATACTATTCGCCTTGTTATTCATACTAGTATTAAAAAGGTGTTTCTTATTGATATCATTCGTCGTATTGTTCCTCCTCATCTTCTTATTCTTCTTCTTAGTATTACTATTATTATTACTATTATTCTTATTATTCTTATGTTTTGTCTTGTTCTTCTTCTTCTCCCTCCTCCTCCACCTTCTTCTCCGCCTCCTCCTTCTCCGCCTCCTCCTCCTCCACGTCATCCTCCTCTTCCCCCTTTCCCTCAGCACCCCCTCCTCCTCACCCTCATTCTTCCCGACGGGATGGGTCCTCCATGACGAGGTGTATGTCCTTCTTGTCCTCCCAGATCTCGTAGATCTTGATGAGGCCCGGGTGGTCGAGCATCTTCATGATGGCGATCTCGCGCTGCATTCTCAGGGGACAGAGGGAGGGGGAGAGAAGAATGAGGAGGACGAGGAGGTGGGTCCTCCCCCATTCTGGGAGAGATGGGAAACATTCGATCGGTGTTCTGCTCCCTCCGCAGGTCAGAGCGAGACGAGATGGCGGTTACGAAGTATTCAAAACAGAAAACACACATAAGCATAGAATGTCAGCATCTACGCGGTTTTCTTGGATCGGCGCTGGCCCCCCCTCCGCAGCGCACGGAGCGCGCCCTGGGCGCGCCAGAGGCGCTGCCAAGGGGACCTGGCACCCATCCGATCAATCCACGCGGAGCTCTGGAAGCGTATGTGTATGCCGCTTCTCTCGATGGGCAACACAAAGGGCAAATCCCAGGTGCGAATTGCGGCACCCACTGTTCGGCAGAAGTGGGCGGAAGCATGAAGTAGGAAGGCGTTGGAAGCAGATTGGGTTCCCGCCCGCGCCCTAAAAAGGAAGGAAGTGGGATTACCACTCGACGCTTGAAGTAGGAAGGCACCTCAAGTATATTAAAAACCTGGGACTCCAAGAATACCTACTCCGATGGATATCTGATCCAGATTGGTCAAAGGTGCAGGAGGGAGCCCAGAATCGAATCGAAGTCGGATCGGCGATCGACATGAATCGGATCGGCGGAAATCGGCAGCCGAATCCGGAAAAATCGAATCGGCGAAAATCGGCAAGCTCGTAGGCCTCCACTGAGGAATCGGCATCCGAACCGGAATCCGAAGCCGAATCGAATCGGAATCGGAGGCCATCGAAGTCGAATCGCATCGAATCGGAGGAGTCGCAACGAGCCCTGAGGGCGTGGTTGCCCAGCACTCACCAGCACCGATCTCTCGGGACGGGAGAGCCCCCGGGCACCACCCGGCCTCGGCAGGACCGTGTCCACCCTGAGAAGCATCTGCGCTTATACGTCATTCCTGCAACTCCTCACCCTCCCCCTCCTCCTCCTCGTTCTCCTCCTCCTCCCTCCTCCTCCTCCTCACTCCTCCCTCCTCCTCCTCCTCACTCCTCCTGCTCCTCCTCCTCCTCCTCCTCCTCCTCCACCTCCTCCTCCCCCTCCTCCTCCTCCTCGACCTCCTCCTCCTCCTGAGGAGGCCTGTTGAAGTGCTCTGGCGTCCGGGAGGCTCTCTCGAGGTTGATGGTCTTGATGGCGCGCATCGACCTGTTTGCAGGCTCGATCTCTCCTGGCCAACCCATCCTCGCCCCCGTCCTCCCCCAAATGGATCGGGCACACGCGAACATGGGTTAGGGATCCGTGGATCCGGAGCGCGGGCGCAAGATGCACGGATCGTGGAAGGTATCCCCCGAAACATGACCAAGGCCGCCTGACCGAGCGACGGGGCGCTACAGAAGTGGGACTCCCCGCGTCGCTCATTCATGGTTGCGCTGCCTCAGGTTGTCTCCTGGCCAGCTCCTCCTCGTCCCCGCCCGTCCTCCCCCAGACCTCACCTCCGTCCTCCTCCTCCTCCTCCCACGAGCAGTAGGAGGGGAAAGGGGGGAGAGTGGAAGCGGGCGGGGAGCTCGGGCGGTGCAGCGGCGCGGGGGAGCGGCGAAATCCGCGCATCTTCTTTTCTTTCTTCTCCTCCTCATCCTGCCCCCTCTGCTTCTCCTCCTCCAACTGATGCTCATTCTCCTCCTGCGGCTCCTCCTCCTCCTCCTCCTCCTCATCATCATCATCATCATCACCACCACCACCACCATCATCCTCATCCTCATCCTCATCCTCGTCCTCGTCCTCGTCCTCATCCTCACCAGCATCAGCATCATCATCGTCATCAGCATCATCGTCAGCATCAGCATCATCAGCATCAACCTCATCAGCATCATCAGCAGCATCAGCATCATCATCATCATCACCACCACCAGCATCAGCATCAGCATCAGCATCAGCAGCATCATTGTCAACATCAACCGCATCATCATCATCATCATCATCATCATCATCATCATCATCATCATCATCATCATCATCATCATCATCATCATCATCATCATCATCATCATCCATCATCATCATCATCATCATCATCATCATCATCATCATCATCATCATCCTCATCATCATCATCACCATCACCATCATCATCATCATCATCAGCAGCAGCATCATCAGCAGCAGCATGATCATCAGCATCATCATCACCATCGGTATCAGCATCATGAGCGAAATCAACAACAGCCGCAGCATCATCAGCAGCAGCAACATCAGCAGCAGCATTATCGTCGTCGTCATCGCCATCATCAGCACCATCATCATCAGCATCATCATCATCATCAGCGTCATCGTCATCATCATCAGCAGCAGCACCAGTATCATCATCGTCAGTAGCATCATCAGCATCATCATCCTCATCACCATCCCATCACCATCATCATCATCATCATCATCATCATCATCATCAGCAGCAGCAGCAGCATCAGCATCATCAAAAGCATCATCAGCAGCAGCGACAGCATCATCATCATCATCATCATCATCATCATCATCATCCTCATCATCATCACCAACATCATCATCAGCATCAGCATCATCAGTATCAACATCATCATCATCAGCAGCATCATCGTCATCAAAACCATCACCATCATCAGCATCATCATCCTCAGCAGTAGCGGCAGCAGCATAATCATCAGCATCAGCAGCAGCATCATCATCAGCAGCAGCATCAGCATCAGCATCAGTTTCATCATCAGCATCATCACCGTCATCAGCATGATTAGCATCATCAGGATCACCAACATCGTCATCAGCATCAGCATCAGCTTCATAAATATTATCAGCATCAGCATCATCATCACCATTAGCGGCAGCATCAGCATCAGCAGCAGCATCATCATCAGCATCATGTAGATCATCGTCAACATCATCATCAAAAGCAGCATCACCATCAGCAGCAGCAACAGTAGCAGCATCATAATCATCATCATCAGCATCATCGTCATAATCATCGTCATCGTCATTAACATCATGCTCATCGTCCTCGTCAGCATCATCATCCTCATCATCGGCATCATCAGCATCATCATCAGTACCACCACCATCATCATTATCATCAGCATCAGCACCACCCTCGCCTTTCTGATCTTTATCCATCGTATTAGCTTCCTCCTCCACCACCTCTTGGTACCCATCCTCGTCCTTCTCCTCCTCCTCCTCGTCCCCCTCCATAGTATTATAATACTATGTGGGTATGTTATTGCATATATTACTGTATAATACATACATACATAGAGACATACATATGTGCTAGAACCACGTGCGCTTCGCGCGCGCTTAGGTTCTAGTAAGCCCCAGGCCGTGACAAGTTCACAGATCCTTTGAAACAGTTACCCACAAAGAGCATAAACATGAGGTACACCGAAGCGTCAATGAAAACGAAGACCGAACAGAGATCAATTACAGACAATGGCACACCGATACAATGCAATGCGAACCGATGCAGAGTAGTGAAGAGAATGTTCAGACTGGAGTGCCCACACTTGCGAAGCAATGCAACGCAGTGCCATGAAAACCAGATGCGAGCGCCATACAGCGAGAAGCATGGCAAGCAAAAGCTTTAAAAACAAATGAAAGGCAAGGCAATGCGATGCAATACAACTAAATGCAAAGCAGAAAAATTATCACCAGCGCAATGCCGTTTGCGGAGCTATGCCTGCGCACACCCGTAGGAAAGCAACCAAGTGAAAGACAATGCAATCAAATGCACATTACCGCAAGAGGCCGTACGACCCCGAAGGTTCCCGAAACCTCAAAGATCGCAGGGATAAGTTACGGAAAAAAAGTGCTGGATGCCCCTACTCCGCCGTCGGTAAACATCTACGTGACGCTAGCACACCAGCTCGTCCTTCTCCTCGTCCCCCTCCTCCTCCTCCTCCTCCTCCTCCTCCTCCTCCTCCTCCTCCTCCTGCTCCTCCTCCTCCTCCTCCTCCTCCTCCTCGTCCTCCTCCTCCTCCTCCTCCTCCTCCTCCTCCTCCTCCTCCTCCTCCTCCCCCTCCCTCTCGCAATCGATCCTCCGGCCGGTCGGACGGCCCCGGCCGGCGACCGTTTAGATTGCCACACAGACTTCTTACGGGAAAAAGCAAAAGTAACGAATTCCCCATCCCCCCTCGGGCTGCTGGGCAATAACTGTCACAGGTAGCCCCTGGTCAGTCGGCCACGCAGCCGGGACAAGCTATATGTCTTCTAAGTTGGCCTCCGGGGGGCAGGAGTTGTCCGCTCGCATACGGCGGTAGTCTGGAAGCCACGTCAAGCCCTAATCCTCTGAAGTCTAGAGCAATATCCGTGGAATCTGCGCGTCCACCACCGGCTTTTCCGTATCCCACTTAGTGGGATTGTGCTGCAGCTATTTCAACGATTTCTCCCAGCACAAGGCCTAATCTGGCCTACTCTGGAACTGGTGGCACTTTCAGATTCTGCGCTATCGTCTGTTCCCGAATTGTCACTTTCAGCTCTGCGCTTGCGCTGCCATCTGTCTCGATACATCCCTGGGGTTTTAGAGGCAACGCCGCCTTCAAAAGATGCATTGCGAGGTGCCCACGATCTGGCTCACAACTTGAGACTTCTGGCATCGCGCTGGAAAGTGATCCCCGACAGAACGCGTTGCGAGTCTCAGCAACAACGCCGGCTCGTCACACGGTTGTCCATCAACTATGGGGCCGTTTGGGAGCCTGTTGGGGCCTCTTCTTTTGGGCCTCTTGGGGGCCTCTTTGGGGCCTCTTGGAGCCTCCTGGGGGCCTCTTGGGGCGGAAAGCTGTAATTGTCGATTCGTGTTCTCCCTCTCGGGCCCCTCTTGGGACCGTCCTGAGGCCCTCTTGGGCTGTCTTAGGCGCCTTTTGGGCCGTTTGGGGGCCCTCTTGGGCCGCCGTCTTGGGGGCCTCTTGGGGGCCTCCTGGGCCCTCTATGGGCGAAGTTGGAAGCTCTTTGGGCAAGCTTGGAACGTCGGACTCCTGAAAACGGGAAAGCGCGAACACACATTGGAAAACACACATGGAAAATCCATGACTTGGGCATCTTGGGGCCCTCTTGTTGGGCCCTCCTGGCCTCTTGGGGGCACTTTGGGCCATCATGGAGCCCTCTTGGACGGCTTCGCACGCTCCTGGGCCGTCTTGGCGGCCTGTGAGATCCGCTGCGGGCGCCGAGGATGGCTCCGGAGGCGCAGGGAGCGCCCTGGAGCGCTCGAAAAGGAGCGCCGGCGCCTGGGACGAAAGTGGGTTGCGGGGGGGGGAGGGGGGAGTTTGGGAAAGTGGGGGCCCAAGACCGGGGGCCCCTGACGCCCGGCTGTTTACTATTATTGTTGTTATCCTTGGCATTAGTATTATCCTTATCATTATTCTCATTATTATTTACATTATCACGAAGTACCTATATATATATATATATATATATATATATACACATATGGCGGGTTCTCGTTTGTTCTGTTACCGGCCTCGTGACCCCCACATCCCCCCGGCACCGGGGGCGACCCCAGCAAGGCCATCCTGACCTGACCACAAACTGAGGATGTAGCTTACGGCGCTGGTTCTCAAAAAACAAGCTTTCGCGTGAGACATCCTCAGAAAAATGAGATGTTGCAGATCGGGCGTCGGATATCCAACATGGTGTGGAGAAGCGTTTCGCTTGAGACAGCCTCGCAACAAGGCGTTGTTGGAAGAGTTGCCTTACGACGCGAATTCTCAAACATGAAGCGTTCGCCTGAGACATCCTCAGAAAATTGAGATGTCGGAGATCGGGCGTCGGATATCAGGCATGGCGTGGAGGAGCGTTTCGCTTGAGACATCCTCGCAACAAGGCGTTGTTGGAAGAGTTGTCTTCTAACGTTGATGCTCAGGAATGAAGCGTTCGCCTGCGACATCCTCAGAAAGATTAGATGTTGGAGATCGGGCGTCGGATATCCAACATGGCGTGGAGGAGCGTTTCGCCTGAGACATCCTCAGAAGATGGGGATGTTGGAGGAGTTGTCTTACGGCGCTGCTTCTCAAACAGAAAACTTTCGCCTGCGACATCCTCAGAAACATGAGATGTTGGAGATTGGGCGTCGGATGCCCACCATGGTGTGGAGGAGCGCATCGCCTGAGGCATCCTCACAATATGGGGATGTTGGCGGAGTTGTTGCACGACCTCGATCCTCAAAAAGAAAGCTTTCGCCGGAGAAGTCATCG